GTTTTCTCTTTCTACCTGTGCGAGTTGTTTGGCCAAGGTTCCGAATGCTGCTGGTTGCCCTGCTTGTCACTGGAGGACGGCACCAATGATTTGTGTGCGCTTGCATAGGAAGAGAACTGACATTTTTCAATCACCTTCTGCAGGACTCGCTCAATCTCAAGATACGGTGGCTCCTTCCCTAACTTCGTCACGCTTGACTGAAATGTTGGCGTGTCACTTGCAACATTTAAGACACACCATGTTCTGCTGTCAGTGCGTGCGTGGTTGTGCGAGTCTAGAGGTTTACCTCCATGAAAACATGTCAGAGCACATGAACCGATTGATAGCTTTGAGTCCAGGTGCTGCAGCAGGCAAATGCCACGGTGGACAAGTATTGTCATCGGCTTAGTATTGTTGGACAATTAAGAGAGTGGATGCTCGTGCTGGCCTGACGTGCAGCCAACCAAGTGTGCGGCAGACTTTGCACGATGTGCTTTTCTTCAAAGATATCACAGTGGCAACATATTTTCAGTGGCACGCCTCCCAAACTGAATTGCCGTTTGTATTGAAATCTTTACTTGTGAGGGCAGACCTGAGGTTCGGTGGCATTGTCCGAGCTTGATGTGGAAGGAGCCCGCCAGGCAGGACGGGATCATGTTTGCAAGATTCCCCCGAAACACAAACTACCGTGACAACCGGCAGGCACAACTGGCTTGCGCGATCCGTGCAACTTCTGACTTGGGCATGTTCTTTAATCCAAGCATGAGTTTCCGTGCCCCAGAACGTCATACTTTGGCTGAACAACGGACAGTAGAAACACCACCGCAACCTGTCCGGAGAAGCGGATGTCATGCCGGCTGCACTTGATAGGGAGGGGCCTTGTGGGCTTTACCGAGTTGCCTGTGTTGCACGTGGCTAAGGATCTGGAGACAGGTGCTGGTGAGGACTGGTGCAGACGGCAGATGGATGCCTGTAGTTGGTGGTGTGTGTGTCCAGGTTTGCTCAAGCATCTTCAAGATATGTTGTCTTTTGAGGGTCCCATTTTTTTTGCGTGGTTTTGAAGCGAAACTAAGGAGGGGTCCAAGGCTCGAAGTAGAGGTCAATTGATGCTCTGGTGTCGGGCTGCCAGTCGTGGCGAGAGATTGAATCTGAAACATGGACAGGAGGCTACTGTTCGTATTTGTTGGAGCCGAGTTATGACTGCCACTGTGTGGAGTTGTTCAAGTGGGACATCACTGATAATGCATTGTCGTAAGATGTGCGGCATCAGTCGTAATTTGGCTTTTGTCGCTCTGATGCGCTTCCGCTGCATGAACACGCCACTGAGCCTCTTCGGAGCTTCAAGAAGCTAGGTATACGTTTGAACAGTCTTTACAAGTGCAAAGGGCGCAAAGAACAGGCGCCTGTTCTGAGGACAATGTCATCTACCAAGCCATTGTGAATGCCGGCCTTGCAGCAGCCTTAAGAAGCTGAGGGGAATTCGCTTGGCCTTCTCCCTATCCCTTCCCCTTTCATCCCTTCCGAATTCCCGAATTCGCTTGGCATGTGATCCGCTTGCGAGTTCGGAGTTCGTCCCGAGGCGGTGCAAGAAGGCCAGACACCCGAGGAGCTCACAGAGGTCCTGCAGCAGGCGGCTGGGCCGGGCTCAGGAAGAGCCTTCCAGTCGCGGTATGGTGCATGAATCGTTCAAATACTTGAGGACACCCTACTTTCAGATATGCACAGGCAATGTGCTCAAAGTCAGTAAGATCTGGATTTTTCTGCGCATGGATTCCCTTAGAGCTTCTTCCTGAAACTTGGTCTTTTCTGCGGGATGTTGCACGCAGACATCCTCCGCAGGTCGCTGACCCGGGCTTTGTGGCGGGCAAGGCGAGAGTGGACCACGAAGTGACGGGTGTGGCCCGAGAGAGCAAGGAGGATTTCCTTTTTTGAAAGAACTTGCAAAAGGGAACACGGAAAAACATAGGCGGCAATTTTTCGTTACATGATGAAAGGGTCTTCGATCCGATCTTCCGGTTTTCGAATTTCCAAATCTCAAGCCGGAATCTTGGTCACCATTGTCCACTGTACTTATTCACTTAGAGGATTCCCGAACTTCGGCAAACTCGCGCGCCACTTGGGAAGATTCATGTTGAGAGCAGCTCACAAAAGCTCGATTGAGCGCCAACGACCGCCTTCGATTTTTGGGGCAGAAGGCTACCTGGTTTCAGGGGGGCACGGGCCGGGTAGATATCTGCCCGGCAGCAAGATCCACGTCAAAGAGCAACTAATCTTAGGTGCAAAAACCATACACACAAGAGGTTTCCCACACAACCCCAAAGTGCGCTGAACGGAGTCACGTTTTTGTTTGTTGGAATCAGTCACACGACGCGATCCCTGGAGGCTTGCAGTTGTGATTGTGGGGCTTGACCACATGGCGTGTTCCCTGGATTTTTGTCTGTTTGGATGAATGTCAAAGCAGAAGAAAAAAGAGAATCTTTTTGGTTGGTGGCGCCATCACCTGGCGATCTTCCTGCGGTTCAATGCTTGGTTGATCCCACATTGCACTAGCTGGGTCGCGCTTTTGCGGAGCTCCTCTTGCAGTGAACAGCGGTTTTCAATTTTACATTCGGATTAATATGAGACTAGTATTTTGTAGCAAGGCGGAACCAATAGGCTTATCGCATTTGTAATGTTGTGCAGAACCAAACATCAATGGGTTGCGCTCCAAGTACATGTATTTGGAACGGCTCTCGAATTGAGCCAAGAAGCATGCGAGGCGTTTGCCATCGTGCTCTCCATCGCCAAGCCGTCATGTATTAGTCGGAGTGCATGGCCATCACTCTCTCTACTTTGGGCACCAGCACGGGTAGGCTATAAACTTTCAATGGTTGGAGCCCCGTTAAAAAAATGTCGGACATAAATTTCCGCCCAAATGATGTCCACAAATCCCGCATCTGCAATACTGCTTATCCTGAGTGTGTTTCTTCAGTGAGGGCTTGCAGCATTTCAGCTGAAGCACGGTCGGAAAGCATGTTTTGAACTTCTGGCTGTTCCGGAATTGGTCAAGAGACCTAGATATTCTCTGAAAAGCCACGGACAATGCCAGGTCCTTTTTGTGGCAGGAGCCTTGGATGTGGGGTTGTGAGCATGTGTAGCTTTTTGCCGTCACGCTCCACTATACTCCTTGCCTCCTTGACAGGCCTTGGCTCTTCAAGACGGGAGGAATCTGATTGATGAACTTATTCAATGGAAGAATCTGGGTTCTGATTTTATCAAAGCGCTCACCTGATGAGGATTGTTCAAATCTGATCTGGATTGCAGCTGATTCAATTCATTCAATCACTTGAGCCCATGCCTCACGCCTCCGAGATGTGGGTCCTGTGCTGCTGGTTTGTGTGCTGCCCGCCGGGCACTTAGCCCCGCGCATTCGGAAGGTGCGACAAGGAGGTTTGGAGAAGTTTTTTTGGGCACGCCGTGTTCACAGATTCTTAACGCTTCATTGGAAGTCGCTGGCGCTTCAAGCATTGAGGTGCGGATCACATACAGATGTTTTTTCTTGCTCGGAATTTGGTAACTAAATACCAAGGATGCCGTGTTTCCTTGCAGTTGTTGCCCCGGCATGACTTTTGTTTGATTCATAGCTGTAATGGAAGTGAAGGACCGTGCACTTTTGAAGCCAGCGTTCTGCAGCTCCCTTTGTCCAGATGGACGTAAAAGAATGAGCGGCATATATTTACTCCATCGACATGCCGTCAATGCTATGCATCCCACAAGATCGCTTTAAGTTCCGCACCTACAGCCATTGGGGTTAAAGAACTGCGTGTTGAAGCAAAGCTCAGGTGCTTCTGCAGGGTATGCTGCTGCTGCTGCCAGAAGCCCACAGACCTGGGGAAATCGAGGATTTGCCAGGCAAGGCGACCTGTCGCCAGGGATTGTTGGAGAAGTGGTCGGCCGAAGGCCAAGACTTCTTGTTCTTTTTGACGTCAGAAGTACAGACAACAGCGAGTTGCAGTCTGCCTGGTAAACCTTGGAATGCTGTGACAAGCACAGTTTGCACCCCTGGACGTCTTCTTTTTGCACCATATTTCAGCAGTTTGGCTAACATGAACGAAGTGCGTGCGCCTCGGATTGCAGGCCATTCTGTGGCTCATTTTCATCTCCATCGGGATCGCTGCCGTGATTCTGGTCTCGTTGAGCTTGAGGCAACGCCAATGCATTTGCATAGGCTTGACCTGGAAATGACAGATGTTGTGACTGAATTGGAAAGCATGTGTTTGCGCAACAGTTTGACATGGGTAGCATTCGAAACAGCTTTCGATAAGAGTTACTTGGCGATGAGCATCGCTTCTCAGACATTTCGGGAACCCCTCAACCGGTTTCCTTTAGTTCCCTTTCAAACCGAGCAAAAAATGGGGGATTACCCCACGACACGCAATGTTGCCGGAAAGCAGCAGGGGGTACACCAACATCGACGAGGGCATTCAGGGCACCGCCTGCTCGGCGGCACAGCTCGTCAAGGACTCACCGAATGTCGAGGGGCGTTCTCGGCTTTTGACACCCCGTTTTGGGCTTGGTTTAAGTTTGAAGCCAAGAACCGTTTGCCGAACTATGCCATTGGTCCAGAGATGACAATGGCTTCAGGAAACTCAGACTCACGCCGCTGGATCCACTTGGAGCCATGGGATTCCGTAAACAAGCTGCATTTTTGTGAGCGTGCTCAACCGTTGCCGTCGTCGAGATTGGTCTCACGTGCTTCTAGGGGACAGGCGGCATCAGAATGGCAGCCCATATCTCATCCATTTCCTAAGGGTTCTTCGTCGAGAAAGCGCTTTGCCTTCGCACTCATAAAGAGCATTATTTTGTGGTTGGATCCCTAGCGCAAGCGGCCCGTATGAGTCTCTAGTTGGGGTTTCGTCCAAGTTGTTTCCAGAGAGACGTCTCCTTCGCTGGAAGAAGCTTTAGGACGGCGTGGGCGGCAGCACCGAGCTGAACTTCATCGGTCTGCTCCCGGCCATCAACGAGCGCCGCTGGCAACCGGTTCGAGACCCCCCCCAAAAATGACCTTGAACAAATCCAAACCACCATTTGAGCCACAATCAAAATCCCGGTAGATGAAGGTTAGTAAGGGACAATCCCAGCCCTACATAGTTGCGGCCGCCTTTGTATTTCCTTACATGGTTCTGGGTCAACCATTTTAGTACCGGGTTTTGAGCAAGTGACTCATTTGTGGACAGCTTCAATTTCTCTCGGCCAGGCTTGAGCGCTTGGCCAACACCTTGAACGCAGGCAAGCTGCAAGCTGCTGGGTGATGCCTTGCGAGCGTGCGCCTTAGGCTCATCGTTCATGACCACCTTGGACAACATCGTGGCATCAACGTCGCTGCCTCAAGTTTTGTGGCATGGAGATGGAATGGATGGCTCCGAGCGGCGATGAGAACGGTGACGCGCGGCGGCCCATATTGCAAGAGCGGTGGCCCTCTAGCAATCTTCGAGCATTTCTTTTTGCCGCACAAAGCAACGCAGTACAGCGGCCAGGTGCTAAAAGGTCTCGAACTGGAGGTCTTCTCTTGTGCACGAGCTGAGTGCAAAACTCCCCGCTCTTGTTGGTCTTCTTGAGGTCTGAGATTGACAGGGCCGTGGCGCTTGTGAGCGGCACCTTGCAGCGCATGCAGGCGAGTTGGCGAGTTGGTGAGTTGCAGTTGTATGTAAACATGGACTTGGATGCGTCAGCCTTTCCTCGCGCCTTGCATGTCATTTTTGCCCTTGATGCCTGGACTCTCATGCAAGGACTATGTGAGCGATCCGGTGAATCAAGGCCTACGGGACATTGACAAGCTGAATGGGTGTTTGCCGGTGTTTGCTGCCTGTGTCCCTTCGACTGATACACTTGCTGGTTGTGTGGCTTGATCTCAAGCCACGTTGGTCACAGTGCCGCAGCAATTTGTCACTCATGAGTGACTCATGAGCTTGCCCGATGCTCTGCCATTATTTTTCCCAGATTGTGTGGGCAGCTCCGAAATTGGAGACGTTGTTGGACCGATGTTGACATTGTCAGATGTCAGATTCATACTTTTGAGTGATGTAGTGTCACGGCTGAAATGTGATTTGTGCAGAACCCACTGGCTACATGCACGAGCCTGGAGCACAGACATCTTGCGATGTGTCGAGCAAGGCAAATTGGATGCCTGACATGTTTTCGTCCCTTTGACCTATGCGTGGATAGTGTGAGATTGGAATCGAAGCATGCGGCTTATGACCTTTAAACGGGGTGACAGAAGTGCTTTGGGACATCATAAGGGGGCCTTTTGCCGACAGAAGAAGCAGGGCTCCTTAAAAGATACATTTTGCCAATTTGAAACATGGCTTTCTCCACCAAAGTAAAGGGACACCACCATTTAGAAGGCAATGTTCAGGTGTATAATGTAAGGATCTCTGAGAAGAGTTGAGCTGCGGTTTGGGAATGCGAGATCTTGGCGCCGAGGTGCACAGTGTGCGCCCCCCTGGCTACCTCGCTGGTGCCTGTGCTTAGCGCCTTCGCACGGCCTCCAAGTTGCCAGCTTGGCGCAGGGGATGTGGAGTCCGATTTTGGCGGGTGCAGACGCCCAGAATGCCAAAGGCGGTCTTCTTGGCATGTGTACGCAGTGGGCAGTTGCAGGATCTGTGGCTCCCTTGGAACTTTTCGAGATCTTCTGCGGACCCACTGAATCTGCAACCCTCCAAGCTGGTCCAACACTGAGCTTTGAACCACCGAGACAGATATGGGATTGTCTCAAGAGAGGCGAATCGACATGCTGGCTTTCCTTTTGGTTTACCTTTAAAACCACCAAAAGAGGGGGCACCCTGAGAAAAACAAATCCATGGAGGTCTTGAGGCAACGGAGTTTTTAGGTGCCTGGCATGCCCCGCTCCGGCGTAGACGTAAGCGCAAGCAGCACAGACAAACAAAAACGCATGTCATGTTACCAATCGGAAACAAATCAACGTGCCAGTGCTTTTTTGCACAGATGAGACGGCGGCATCATGTCACAGTGTTGGAAGAAAATGTTTACCGTTTTTAGGTGCCCCCATCTCAGACAGGCTCCTAGAGGTAAGGACCCTCCTCGAGCGCTACCTTTGTGTCAAGGGTCACGATGCTGTGTGCGTCCTGCGGAGGAACTGCCATGCATTGAGTCGTTTTTTGTTTTTGTCGCTGACATGTGCATGTGTCTCTCTCCACTGGAATCCCAGCGGGCTGTCATCCTTGGAAATGTTGTCCATTTGTTCAGGCCATGATATCAGGTTCACGCTGTCGGCTTGGTTGACTCATCGCTTTCCGCATGAGCCACGCTTGCTTTTCGCGCTCAGAACGGCGGTGTGGGTTCTGCCCTCAGGAGACTGCCCTTTTTTCAGGAACATGACTATGGCCTTTGCGGACATGGGTATGTTGGTGTTACAGCTTCCCTGCGATGGCAGGGTCACCAGATTTGCCGAGCGTGACCTGAGTTCATGCCCTCAAGAGTCTTGCTGTCTCAGGTAACGCCCTGAGTTCGACACGAGCAGAGGCAGGAAGGGGTGAAAAAGCCGAAGGATGTCCTCCCAGCATCTCATGTGCTCACATTTGCAAGGTCTCGTTTCAGGTGGAGGGGGTGTTGGGCTACATGTGTGACGAGCCGCGTTTTGTCGAGTTGCCAAGTAAGTCATCACACCGACATTCGCCATGATTCAGTAGTGGAGGGCCACGCCCCGCAAATAAATTGCTTCATACATACCCTCCACCCTACATTTTTTTTCATCTTCCATCTTCTACCCTTATTTGTTTTCATCATTTTTCTACATTCCTTTCTGTCCATCTCATCCGTTTTTTTATCATCATTTTTCCAAAATTTTCGCCATCCTTTTCTCCTTTCTCCTCGCCTCATTCATTTCACCAACTACCCTCCAAAATGTCATTTCCTCAATCTCCTCGCCTCATCCATTTCAAAAAAAGAAATTTTGCAAAATATATTGCAAAAAATATTTGTCATCAAAAAAATATTCGAACTGTCTAAAAACGATTTGTCCATTTCCCGGACAAAAAATAGAACAGCAACAACATCACTCCCTCCTTCGTTTCATCAGTTTCATCATATATTTTTTTGGGGCGTGGTGTCCCTTGTAGGATTGTATCTTCAATATAAAACGCTATACTGACATTATAATTATAACATATAAGGGTATAAATGTTATTATTATAGTATGATTAATAATTATGGGTTACATTTATAGTCAGGAAAAATGTCTTCAAATATGTAATCTACATATTTATCAATATCGCCAATGTCTATATATTTGATATTGTCTTTTCCTATTATTGAATAAATATATTCCCAGAAGAACAAATTAACTAGTAGCCATACTTGATATTTAGTGTTGTAGTAAGACCATACATGATATTTAGTTATTCTAAATTCATTCAAGACCTCGTTTATTTTATCTTTACTTAATAAATGCCAATCAATCGCATCAAACATGCCTCGAAATTTTTTAACAAATGCTTTATATGGTTTAATTGCGCTTGTCCCTCCAAACCTCTTAATCAAATCTTTATTATTGAAGAACTCATCAATTTCTTTTTCAAATGACTTTCTTGCAATTGTATGGTAAAAACATACAGGACATCGTTTTTGATATCTCATAAAGAATGTCAATTGTAATTGAAACTTTGTATATCCCTTATCCTTATGTTCTTCAACAAAAAACTTTTCAAGGTCTCTTGTTATACAGCATTGACTACAATATACATCATATTCACTTATTTTATTACATAGATTAGCAGGTAATAACTTATACAATGTTATATTAACATCATTCCTTTTAGTTTTACAACATTCGCACTTTGAATAATTAAATAACATTTCAACTGTAATATATATAGTGTTTATTTCTTTAAATACTTTTTACAAGAAATAAAATTACATATTGAAATATAATTATAACATATAATATTTTACATGTTATTATTATATTATGATTATAATTTAAGTTCAGGATAATAATTTAATTGATATATCTTACCTCTTTCATACATCATTTTAAAAATAAGATTTATATCTCTCACTGTATTTTTAACATTAAACTTTTCACTTTCAATATGTGATTTAATGATTGTTTTTACATCAAACCCTTCTTTTCTTTGATACTCCACCATCCATAATATGTAGTCAATCATTTCATACTTTTTCTTACTGATTTTCATAAATGCTCTAACATAATCATAAGGTGGTATTTTATACACAGTTAAAAATATCAAAATGTCATCTTCAACATTTCTTTCATTAAACCTTTTAATATCCAAATTACATTCGATTGCTTCTTGGTAATATCTCCAATTTATACAAATTTTACATAAATTTTCTTTACCCAAAGAATAATCAATAATACTATTAACTATTCCATTAGGTAAATTCAATTTGTATAATTCCATATTTTCTTTTTTAAAGTGGCAACAATCGTAGCATTTCTTATTGATATAATTATTGATTTCGGTTTCCATCATTTCTATTATAATATATATAGTGTTTATTTCTTCCTTAAATACTTTTTTACAAGAAATACAATTACATATTGAAATATAATTATAACATATAATATTTTACATGTTATTATTATATTATGATTATAATTTAAGTTCAGGATAATAATTTAATTGATACATCTTACCTCTTTCATACATCATTTTAAAAATAATATTAATATCTCTCACTGTATTTTTAACATTAAACTTTTTATCTTCAATATTTGATTTAATGTCTTCTTTTACATCAAACCCTTCTCTTCTACGATATAACAATATCCATAAAATGTGGTTAATCATGTCATACTTTTTCTTACTGATTTTAAGAAACTGTTTAACATAAGCGTAAGGCGGTCTTTCATACACAGTTAAAAATATTAAGATGTCATCTTCAACATTTCTATTATGTCTTCTTTTCAGATTTAAATGACATCTGATTAATTCTTGATTATCTCTCCAGGTTTTACAATTTTCGCATATATCTTCTTCATCCATTGAATAATCAATAATATTATTAACTATTCCATTAGGTAAATTCAATTTGTATAATTCCATATTTTCCTTTTTGAAGTGGCAACATTCGTAGCATTTCTTATTGATATAATTATTGATTTCGGTTTCCATCATTTCTATTATAATATATATAGTTTTTATTTCTTTAAATACTTTTTTCCAAGAAATAAATTTATACCTTTAATAACTCATGTCTCAAAAATGCCCTGTCATAATTTTCAATATAATAATATTCCTGTCCTAACTTCTTTTCAATCTTTGCTATTTTGTAGGTTTGTTTAGTCCATACTCCTACTCTCTCCTTTTCATTCGGTCTCCTTTTCCTGAATATCTTAACTTCATTTCCTACATTTAAATCTGGATAAACTCTATTTCTTTTGGCTTTCATACCTAAATTTAAACTCACTTCTAATTGATGTTTAGGCTTTCTTGCTTCTGACGGTGTTAAGCCGTGCGAAGTGTGCTTTATTCCATTGTTATAAGTTAATATAATCTCGTGTATGTAGTCTGTCCATTGAATAGCCTTTCCTTTTTTCTCATCGTTTTCAACCCTCTTATACAAGCTATCTTTAAACGTCCTTATCGCCCTCTCCGCGAATGCTGGGTGACCTCTGGTTCTATGTAATTCTATTTTTTCATCTTTCAAAAAATCTATAACACTTTGATTATTATAAGCTCCTTCATCGTCAATATAAATTAGTTTGGGCTTTCCATCCATTTTTTTAATACATTCCATCAGTCCTGCTAAAATGTCCGCTGGCTGTTTTGACATAAGCGGGACAACAACCATATACTTAGAAAATATGTCAATACACATCATGCCAACTTTCATTTTTTGTTTAGGGATATCATTAATGAAAAATAAATCAATTTGAAACTCATAATATGCGTTAGGAGCTACAAATGAATTCTGTCCTCTCGGTTTAGCTTTCTGTTCTACATTCTTCCTAAAAAACTCATTAATATCGTTTATAGTTATTGTGTTATCCTTTTTTCTTGCTTCTTGTAAAGTGCGGTTCTTTGACCCGAAGCCTCCTTTATCATAATAAACATTATTAATAATATCTTGCTTAGATGCCATATAAAATAAGATAGATATTATTTTTCCCGGCGATTACAGTTTAAACAGTAAGATATACAGTTTTCCTTATGATGGGCATAATCGTTGTTTATTCTTTGGGCTGTCATATTGCTATTTATTACTCCATTATTTATTTCTATGTCAAAATCTGAACTGCATTTATTACATCTGGTATTAAGCCTGTCAAATAACCATTTGACATCAATATATTGTTTGTTGTCTATCTCTCTCTCTGCTTTCATGTCTTGTAATTTATATTGTTTAATCTTATGTTCTAAATATCTGGTTACTTGTGCTTCATTTAAATCAGTATCGTCTAGGTCTGCTTTGAAAAACTTGACTTTGTTGATATCTCTGCATCTCGTGAGGGCTGTCCAAATCCACTCACGGCTGACCAAATGTGATTTATCCCATTCATGTATAGTAATGCTTTTATCTAGAGAAGCCCCTTGAGACGAATGGCATGTAGCACAATAAGCATGTATAAAGTGCTTGTCTAAAGTCGTGGTGTTTGTCATGAATATAGTTTTACTTTTGATATCTTGGATTTCTACTTTCCAATCATCAATACTAATAATTTCATAAGTAATATTTACATTAAACACCTGCCCCATTTCCTTTTTATAAACTCTGCATATCACATGCTCTCCGATTTCATATTTATCTGTCTTTCCTAAATTATTTCTTACGGTCTTGCTTACCCATTTGCACCTAGCATTAGTATAGGCTATGTTATGCTCTCCTTCCATGATGTCGCTTGTAGTTTCAAAATGTTTATTTACTATTTCCTTAATGGGCAGTTTATTTTTCCAAATGTCATTATATATATCATTCAATTTAATTTTATCTTCTTCTGTCTTAAGTCTCTTAGATATCTTAAGATAAATCTTATATTTAAATATTTGATTAAGACAGTTGTTTAAATATGTCTCGTGGTCCTGGGTGTTAGTTAAATCAGCTATAGGTTTCAACTGCTTCCCGTCAGCAGTTCCTATAATTATCTTCTCTGGGTACGTATCCTTAAACTCCCTAACTCTGTTCAAAATATAATTGCCCGCCATACCTAGCTCATCAAACACAATACAATTATAATCAGAATGGTCAAATGTCGGTAGTCTTTCTCCAGCTTCTATTGGAATACTGAAAAACTTGTTTAATGTTACGGCGTCGGCTTCGGTTTCTTGCTTCTGCTTGTTATTAGAACATACGAATAACACATTATAACCTAGATTTTTCATATATTCGCCTATATAACTCTTGCCACTTCCAGCCAGTTTTGCTTTTAGTAAAACCGGATTACACGACACAATTTGCTCACAAATGCTTTTGGTGTCGTATTCGTCTTTAACACGAATTTTTACATTATTGTAAGTCGGAATTTCTGATAACTCATTAACCTTAATTTTGTATATATC